TCCCCCTCCCTCCCGTCATCTTCCCAGCTCAGGGAGGCTGGTGGCTCCATACCCCCTGAGGATAAAGATGAAGATCCAAAACACAAGTGCTGAATGAGCACCAGCCAGTGTTATCCCAGCCAGTGTTATCCTGAGCCTGTCTCTGCCTACCCCTTTAGCCACATCCCACTGGCTCTCTCCTGCAGTCTCGCTGGGGCTCCACCTGTCCTCCTGGGCACAAGGCCTGGTGCCTGCGGCTCCCTCCTGCCTGAACATTCGCCCTCCCGCCCACTACAGCCCACACTGCTCTAAGCCCGGGGAGCTGCCCTTACCACCTCTCCCTGTTGTCCTACCTTATTCGAGTCATGATCCTTATAAAACCTTATAATCCTTATAAAACCTGTAAGTCATTTAATTACTTCAGTTGACTCATTCTGAAAAAGAGATTGGAAAGAACCAACTGATGCTTACGCGGTGCTTACTATGTGCCTAATGCCATTCCAAGAAAGTTACATCCTCAACTCACCTAATCTCCCTACCCCGCACCCCCAAGGGCTGTTATTACTCCTAATTAACAGAAGAAGGCACTGAGACCTTCCCAGGGGCCCACAGCTGGGCGGTGGTGGTGCCTGGCCAAATCCACAGCTGCACCAGGACATTCTCGTGAGGCAGAGCAGCGAGTGAGGGATGGACGGGTAGAGGGGTGTGGGTGGAACAAGGGGCCGTGGCGTTAAATAGTGTCTCTCTAAGGTGGGCTTCTCCTGCCATCTGGGGTGTGGGGGAGGCACGGAATATGACCAGGTGGGGGCTGGGTGTCCCCTGGGCCCCTAACTAGGCTGCTAAGGACCCTGCCCCAGAGGTCCCCAGACCCTCACCGCTCTCCCATCCCAGAGCCCCACTTCCACCCACCTCCCTGCCTCTATCCTTCCCTCCAGCCACTCGCCCGGATCCTTCCAGTGCCATCTGTGCCCCTGTGCCCGGCTCCCCTCTCAGGCCAGGGCTCCTCTCCACCTCCACCCTCAAAAGCACTGCGCCTCCACTGGTGATCTCGACCCAGCCGGCCTGCTTACTCCCTAGAAAAACAAACTGCTTCCCCACCAGAGGGGCAGTGCCTCTCAGACCCTTGGAAACAACTGCCTGTGCTGGGGTGTCTGGCAGGAGTTTTGTGCCCTGAATATTCTGGCTCCTCTGACAAAACCCTCTTTGCATTAAAGCAGAATGCCAATGGCTAAAACCACATTTCAAAGACATTTAACCCAATCCATTTCCCTTCTACTCTTTGAAAACTTGGACCCGGGCACCAAATCCATGCAATTTATGCACAATCACGAACGCTTCAGTTGTGCACAAGCGTAGCACTTTGCTGGTTTGCTTCGCTGACAGTCTTTACCCTTGCTGTGTGTGCCAGCGAGGCTCAAAGCGTGCAAGCCCGCAGACCTGCTTCTTCCTCTGGAAGGCAGGCGCACCTGCCTGAGCGAGGTCCTTGCCCCTTCCGTTTCTTAAGGGCTTAAAAAGCACATTTTAGTTGGGTGAGGTGGCACACGCCGGTAATTCCAGCTACTCAGGAGGCCGAAGCGGGAAGATCAAAGTTTGGTGCCAGCCTGGGCCACTTAGCACAACTTTGTCTCAAATTTAAAAGGGGTAGGGAGGCTGGGGATTTAGCTCAGTGGCATAAGCGCCTGCCTGGCAAGCACAAGGTCGTGAGTTCAATTCCCAGTACCAAAAAAAAACCACCAAAAAAAAAAGGGGTGGGGATGTAGCCCAGTGCTCCCTGGATCCCATCCCCAGGATCACAGCAGGGGAGGGCAGGCAGACACGTTTTAATTTTCAGAAAAGCACAGTTCATCAGACGACACAGCCATCATAGATTAACCACGGGGAGGACACACTGCTTGTCGGGAGGGAATGAATCTGTCAGATCTGGCTCGCTTCTAAGGAGAGATCTGAAATGGAAAATGGACTAAAATCAATGTCATCTTCACAGCCAGAAAAGAAACTGAGCCTCATTTCTATTTCCATAGACGTCACTTCTGATCACCAGGCCACTCGTTCATCTGCCAAAGTGATCGACCGAGTCCCTTCGGAGGAGGCCAGGCCGCCCTGGGTGCTGAGATTCGGTGAATGTGGCTCCCCCACAGCCACCAGCCAACACGGCTTCTGGGCATCTGAAATGTTGCTGGTGTTTCAGAGAAACTTTTCACTTTATTTAATTTTAATTCATTGACGAAAAACCTGACATTTGATTCAGTTACTGCCAAACTGTCAAGCATCTCTGAAACAACTTCATACCCATCTTGACTCTGAGGAAACCTAAACACAGATCAAATATTTGCAAGGACAAATCAGTGTCCAAATCAAAATATGCTCTATGCACAAAATACACACTGGATTTCAAAGGATGGGAACTATATCTCATCAACACTTTCTATATTGATTACATTTTCTGAAGATATTTTGGATGTATAGAGTTAAGAAAAAATGTTATTAAAATTAATTTCATTTGCATCTTTTTTTAATGTGCCAACTAGGAAAGTAAAAATTACTTTGGCTCACTTTATATATTTATTGTCCTTTTTGGCAATACTGGGGATTGAACCCCAAGCCTTTGCAATGAGCTACATCCCAGCCCTTTATGTTTCACTAAAACAGGTCTCACTCAGTCACCAGGCTAGCCAAGTGGGGCTGGAGTTTGTAATCCCCCTGCCTCAGCCTCCCAGAGTGCTGGGATTACAGGCACGTGTGCCACCACACCAAGCTTTTCACATTATATTTTGTCTAGCTGGACCCTGGAGCAGAGTGCAAGGCCATCTCACACATGGTTCCAGGGCAGAGGGCTGCTTAGCAACTCCAGACCCACCCCTCCTAATGCGGGAGACAATTAAACTCCTCCCTGAGGGGAGCGGCAACCCCAGACCTCAGTGCTTCCTGATTCAAGGTTTCAGACCTGGTCTCTGCAGCCCGCGACCCCACCTGACCTCAGTTTCCAGAGAATGCTAGAGGATGGGAGGAGATGGAGATTTACCTGTGAGCGCTCCCCTACCCCTGCACACACCTGGGAAGAGAGAAGTAACAGGACAGGACAGAGGCAGAAGGAAGGCAAACAAAGGGCAGGTTTACTTACTCCCCGAGGTTGCTCCTGCCGGCGCCCAGAGCAGGACAAGCCCCAGGAGTCCCATGGGTGCCGGCATCCCTGCCTGGCCAGTCCCACGGAGCCCCAAGCCACCAGCCTCACTCTCCAGGGTGACTCCTAGCATCCCCCAAAGGACCTTTCCTCCCCTAAGAGGAGGGTTCAGCTGAGATCCACTCTCCCGGCCTAGCTGGGAAGGAGGAGGGGCCGCAGGGTAGGACCCAGCCAATTAGAACCCAGCAATAAAGTTACTAGGGGAGGGCATGGGGGGCATGGGGGAGGGGCGGGGCTTCCGCCCACCGAGGGGGAAAGTCCCTTTTTTGCAACCTCTTGCCCTAGGAAGGCAATCTCAGGGCAGAGGCAGGACAGTGTGCTTTCACTTGCTTTTGATTATTGCAGTCGAATAATAGAACATAAAATTGACCAACTTTTTTTTTTGGAGACAGGTTCTCACTATTACTTCCTGGACTGGCTTCAGACTTTCTTCGATCCTCCTGCCTGGGCCTCCCAAGTGCTGAAATTACAGGTGTGCACCACCACTCCTGGCTTCTTTTATTTTTGTTTATTTGTTTTGCAACCCAAGGGATTAAACCGAGGGCTTTCATACTGAACAACAGTGCATCCCCTGGCCTATGTTGAGACAGCATCTTGCTAAGTTGCCCAGGTGGGACTCCAATCTCAGATCCTCTTGCCTCAGCCTCTCAAGTGCTGGGACCAGCTCCATTTGAACCATTTTAAAGCACACAATTCAGTAGCAACGAGCACCTCCGTGCCACTGTGCCACCGCCACCACCAGCTAGTTCTGTAGCGCATGTCTGGCTTGTCTTCTCCACCGCTCAGGGGTGGAAGGCCAATGCCGGGGACCAGCGAGGTCTTTGGGGATGGCAGGAGGGTTTGCACAGCTTTGGGCACAAGGTCTCTGGAGGGCACGGGGACAGCCTCGGGGGAAAGGGGCTGCTCGCTCACTCGTGTTGGAGCTTTCACACTCTGCGCCTGTCCGCTGCTGGAAAGCCAGGCGCCAGCCTCCTTTGCCAGACCTCTCACCCATCCCTTCCGGGCCTCCTCAGGAGCACCTCCTTCCCACAATTCCCACAACTGCTTTTTTCAGTACTGGGGATGGAACCTGGGAGGCCGCTGCTGCTGAGCTACATCCCCAGCCCTTTTTCTTTCTTTCTTTCTTTCTTTCCGGTACCGGGAATCAAACTCAGGACCTTGCTCTTGCCAGGCAGGCACTGTGCCACTGGCTCTATCCCCAGCTCCTCTTTTTGTTTCTTGAGACAGGGTCACATTAAATTGCCCAGGCTGGGCTTGAACTAGAGACCCTGCTGCTTCAGCCTTCCAAGTAGCTGGGATTACAGGCGTGCACCACAGTGCCAGGTTATAAACATGCTTTTTATAAGCCACTTGACTAAACTATAACATAGATTGTATGGTTCTCACGTTAAAAGTGTGCAAGTTGCCGGTGTGGTGGCGCATGCTTGTTGTAATCCCACCCACTCGGCAGGCTGAGGCAAGAGGCTCCTGAGCTCAAGGCCAGCCTGCCCGATCAAGACCCCGACTCAGAATAAAAAATAAAAAGAGCCAGGGACATGGAGCGCCCTGTGGCTGAATAATGATCCCGAGTGGGCAGACCACATTCTTTGTCTGTTCATCCGCTGATGGACATTGCATGGCCTTTAACAGAACTTTCTTGGAGCCAGATTAAAACACCACTGGCTGGGATATCATGTTTTAGGGAAGTGTAACCATTTATGCTTTTCATCTTGAGCCATTTTTCATATCTTGAAACCAATGATGCCACCTCCCCTCCCCCCAGCTCTAAAATCATTGTCAGAGCTCAGGAGCTGGAACCACAGAGCTGAGAGGCCCTCCAGTTGCCCGGGGCCTTGCATGTGCTGCAGGGTGAGTGTTAAAGGCATTCCAGGGGTGACACAGAAAAGCAAAGACCCCCAAGAAGAATAAAATGCAAAAGATGTTCAAGCCGCATAAAATGGCACATGCCTGCATTCCCAGCACTCCAGGAGGCTGAGGCAGGAGGATGGCAAGTTCAAGGCCAGCTGGGCAACTGCGTCTCAGCATGAAGGCCCTAGATTCTATTTACTGTATTGGGGAGGGAAGAAAAGAGGGGTTCAACAGAACAAGGAGAACCCTGGTTCACAGAATGGAATGATTACTGTGGCTGGACCCTTTTTAAGCAGTTTCTGAAGGAGAGATTTGCTTGTGCCCTCCAGGAGGAGAGCACAGTGACCTTAGTAACACTAATAACGCTCTGGGGAAACTGTGTCAGGTATTGGGCAAAGCCCTTCTTGGAGTTTAACTCATTCGACTCCCCCAGTAACGACTCTAAAGGTGGAAAAAGCCTCCTCCCCTTGCATAGTCGAGGAAGTAGAGACACAGAGAGGGCAAGTGACTTGCTCAATATCACACAGCTCAGGGGTTTTACCAGATGTGGCTCCAGAGTCCCCTGCTCTCCTAACTCTGGCAGCTTCACTTATTATTTTATTACTCCTTGCCATCTCCGTGGGAGACTCAGTCTCCAGCCGAGGCCTGGATCCTCCCGCTCATTCAAAGTCAGGAGCCTCAGTAAATCCTGCCATCTTTGCCGTGGTGGTTTCTGCTCATCACAGCGACATCAAGGGTCCCAGGCCCCGTCGCAGGTCTGCAGGGCAGACTTTCCAGGTAGCATCAAGACAAGTCTCCTTCGAACAGCTGGGGAGAGTTGGGAGCGGGAGACCACCGCCCCAGGGTAGAGGAGACCTGGCCAGTAGGGGGCACCACGAGCTCTTCGTGCTTGTGGAAGGTCTTCACCAAGCCCTGCGGCCTCATCTCTTATCTGTGAAATATTTCTGAAACGTGTGAGGGAGAAATGCTCCCTGCTGATCATGAGTAAGACTGAAAAGGCCAGGGATGGGGGTTCATGACTCATCTCCGCATCCTTCTTCCCTTAGCTGTCACCTCAAGAGAGATTTTGACCTCCCTGGAGTCACTCACTGGCAACATAAAAGGGCGGGAAGCTAGAGACAAAGTGTCTTCTGGCTCCATGCTGTGGTCAAGAGGAAAAGATGTCAGGGAGAAAGCAACTACAAACAGGAATTATCACATAACAAAAATAGCATCGCTTATGCTTGGGAGACAGATTATTCAATAACACCCCGTTCACAGAAAACAACCCAAACAGATTTGCATTTTACTAAAAAAGGCTCAAGTTTAGGCATAAAAAAAATGCAAATGAACACAGCCAAGCATGTTTCTTCAAAAGCCAAACATACACCTACCACTGGCCCCAGCCCCCACAAGAAGAGAAAGCACATAAAGATCTCTACAGCAGTGTCCACAGGAGCCTTGTCCATGACAGCTCAAATCAGGGTGGAGAAATGAATCAGGGCACGGCCATCCCATGGAATACTATACAGCAATGGAAAGGAACAGGGCAGACAGCACCACAGCCAGGGAGTCCCAGGAAGGGCTCTCCTGGAACTTGACCCTGAACTTAACCTCTCAGAGTTTCAGTTTCTTCATGTGTTAAATGGGGACAGGGACGGGGACACTTGCCTTGTATAACCATCCTGGAATTAAGCAACAGAACATGGTCTGCCCTGCCCATGGCCAGCATTCAACACGGACCTCTCTGCTGCTCTGCCGTGGGAGGGTTGGGTGACCCATAATGACTGCTTGTTACCCTCCCCACACCCACACGCCTACTTCTCATGCCCGGTTGACAGCACGTCACCACCCAGGTTAAGGCCGCAGTCCGCAGAGCCGCCGGGCGAGCCCTGTGTCATGGGGGTCACCAAGCCCTGTTCTTGCACCACCGGGGTGCAGCGGAGGCTGGCTCCCCCACACCTCCCACTGTGCGCACACCCACAGGGGGCCAGTGGCTTGCTCTTTTTTCCTCTTTCTGTCCTGGAGACTGAACCCAGGGCCTTTGCACTGAGCTATATCCCCCAAGTCACCCGCTCTTAAGAGGGCCCTGAGCAGAAGGTGCTGGACAGTTTTCTGTGCAGAGGAGCCTGGCAGTGACACTCAGAGGGGTGGAGTCCGAGAGAGGACAGGAGTCTCCTCCCTTCCCCATAGGGCCACAGGTTAAAAAGCCCTCCGAGAGCAGCTGTGCACAGGGCCTGCAGCCAGGCCTCCCTGTAAGCCCTCATAAGGCCTGTGTCAGGCCTGAAAATAGCATACCCAGGCTTTACTGAAAGCCCCTTCCCTGCCTTTCCCCAAGGGCTGGGTCCTTGGTGGTGCTATGCAGAACCTGCTGGAATGAGGCAGCTCTTCCCCTTCTCCCAGCCCAGGGAAGAGGTGTTGGGCCGGGGATATAGCTCAGCGGTGCAAGCGCCTGCCTGGCAAGTGCAAGGTCCTGAGTTCCACTCCCGGTACAAAAAAAACCAAAACAATAGTTGAAGAGGTGTCACACATCAGGAGCCCTGAGGACAGTGCAACTCTACTATCTGGCAAACTTAGTAATAACAGCCCCTTTCATCTTCAAATGTTCTCCCCTAGGTTTTTCACAATAATAACTTTAAAAAGAATATAGGAAGCCTGTTGTGGTGGTGCATGCCTAAAAATCTCATCTACTCAGGAAGCTGAGACAGGAGCATCTCCTGCCTGTGCAACTTAGCAAGACCCTGTCTTTTTTTTTTTTTTTGGTTTTTCTCAGGTACCGGGAACCGAACTCACGACCTTGCGCTTGTCAGGCAGGAGCTTTTGCCGCTGAGCTAAATCCCCAGCCCCAAGACCCTGTCTTGAAATAATAATGAAGGGCTGTCAGTGCCACACAGTGGTACACCGTCTGCCTGGCGTGCTGGAGGTCCTGTATTCAGTCCCCAGTACTGCTGAATGAATAGACAATATATAGAAGAAAACTTTAGCATCGCTTCACACACAGATGGAACAATGATTTTATTTTTGAACAGCTAATACAATGAGGAGTAATTCCAGAACTATAAGGTTGGGTTGGTTGTTTTTTTTTTTTTTTTTTGGTTTTGTTTTTGCTTTCTTGTGGGGAGGGGGAGCCACAAACCTGTTAAAGAGATAACCACCACCAGGTGAGTGACTAAGTGAAATGAGGTCCATCTGTACTGTGGAGTACTGTGAGGCCGGCAACAGGAACCGAGCACAGGTTCACACAGACGAGCCTTGACAGCACTGTGCTCAGTGACAACACCCAGACCCGGGACACGAGGGAGGGCGTGGCTCCATTACAGGACATGCGCAGAACGAGCAAGGCTGGAGAGAGGAGTCTGTCAGCGGCGGCTGCGGCCAGGTGGAGGGTTCTGGTCAAGGCCACGCCGGTGCAAACGTTGATTGTGCTGATGGCTGCACAGCTCAGTTTCTGTGCTAAAATAAAGACTGTGCACTTCAGATGGCTGCACTATGTCTTCATGAAGCTATTGCCGAGAAAACCAAACCACCCTTACCTGGAAACCCTTTGCCCACGGCTGTTGATAGCAAAGGTCCCCGGTGGGGTCTGAAGGCTTCTCTCATATTTGGACGCCCGCCCCTCCCTTGGCCTTCCCCCATTTCTTTGCTGGTCTGAGGCCAAGGTCTCAGCACTCCAGACAGACAGGCACCATCTGTGCCCCCAGGTGCAGGCTCTCAAGCTAGCAAAAAACGAGCTCCCTGAGGGCCACACCCCACCCCAGGCGCTAACTTGGTCCTGTTCTGGAGAGGACGCACATGGTCTGACCTCTGAGGAGAACACGGTGGGCCTACCTCAGCCTGCTCAGGCAGGGCAGGGGGCAGAGAGCAGGGGGCAGGGGGCAGGCCCCGGCATCCAAGGGGAGGGGATAAACCTGCAGGGGGCGCCACTTCCCCCATTCTGAGCCAGGCGTGCTAGCGCCCACACCTGGCACCAGAGGGTGGGAAGGGGACACAGGCAGCTATTCTTGCAAAACTGAGTCTCACCTGCTTGGCTGGCGCTGCTCCTGCCTCACCCTGAGACTTGCTCAGAGGTGCCCAACCAGTGTCTCCAGGGCTTTCCTAGCTCACCCAGGAGCTTGCCCCCTGACAGGCCAAAAGAGCTGGCCCCTCGCATGTTCTGGAGTGTTCTGGAATGTTCCAGCAGGTTTCATATTCTCCCCTGGACCCATCCATTTCCTCACCCAGATCTTTAAAGCTGGAAGAACCAGTCTGCCTCCTTCTGAAGAGGAGCAGACTCAGCCTGGGAGATCTAAACAACTTGGCCAAGCCACATAGCAGGTTGCAAGTAGCTCAGCAAGAGTCCCTGAGGAACAGCTTTCAGTTCTTTCAAAATTCCATAAGTACTGTATCACCCATTCTATCCCAGTACCATGCTAGTGATACTGAGATCCTGCTCTCAGATTCTGCCCTTTCTTTGAAATACTACTCTGTCATATGTTGTGATCTTTGTTGTTGTTTTGCGGTACTCATATTATAGGCAGCTAAGTTAGTTAGAAATTAACATGCAGTCAGAGAGGGACTGGGCTCTCAAGGAAGTCAGGGAAGAATAAAGACATCAGATTGTGGCGGGAGGCGCATCTGAAGGCCAGTCCTCATGATAAAGACGCGCTGGCCAGGCCTACATGCCTGCCTGGGGTTTAGGGAGTAACTTGGAATTATACTATAATTGGTATCACCAGGTCCGGTAAAGTCCAGATACACATCAGTTGTCCAGGTGGGTGACCATCAGACCCATCCCTTCCCCAAAATGCCTGCACTCTTTCCGTGGACCCTTGCTATGTGACTCATCTCCGTACTGGATCAATATTAGCGAAGTGGCTGAACTTGCAATCCTGTAGGTTGAGTATAGTTTGACCCTCATTGTATCCACATGGTGACTTTGCTGTATGCATTACCCCTAACACAGGGGCTCAGTAGCTACCTACTTGCGGGACCCCTTCTACCTCTCAGGAGCTATTCCTACTCCTCGATAACTGTTTCCTATTCTTAACCTCTTTTGTCCTTTGGAATTCATTCTGCAATTTCAGGGGACACGAACTCAGCACATCTGACTTCTAGCAGGTTGGGAGTTACATTTTTCCCTATATCACTTGGGATTGAGTCCAGGGCCTTCCCTCTTTGCTATCTCTCCAGCCTCTTTTTATTTTTCATTTTGAAACAGGGTCTTGCTAAGTTTCCTAGGCTAGGCTCAAACTTGTGATCCTCCTGCCTCAGACTTCCAGAGTACTGCGATTGCAGGCACTGTAGTCTTACGACATTTGTTTTTTTTTGTTGTTGTTGTTGTTTGTTTTTTTTTCTGGTACGGGGAATCAAACTCATGACTTTGTGCTTGCCAGGCAAGTGCTGTGCCGCTGAGCTAAATCCCCAGCCCTCTTAGGACATTTGTTGATGGTTACTACTTCATTTAAATATCCATTCTGATTTACACTGAACTCAAAATTTACCCTGCCTCGTTTCGCCAACTGTCATAGTACATTATACAAATTAGCATTTGTCTGAGACAGGGTCTCCCTGTATAATGCAGGTTGGCTTTGAACTCACTATGTGGCCCAGGTAGGCCTCAAACTCACAGCAATCCTCTTACAAGCATGCGCCACCAGGCCTGGTGACTAGCAAGTTTTCCACTGGGTGAAATTCCTCCAACAAAATTAACTTCGAACAATTCAGTGCCATTTACTGTACTCACACTGGCGAGCAACCTTCATCTCTATCTGGTGGCAAACACTGTCATCATCCCTAAAAGGACACCCTGGCTTCATGAAGCAGTTACTGCCCACTGCCTCTCTCTCCTGCCCAGCAACTACCAATCCCCAGTCTGTCTCTGGAATTGCCTGTTCCGCATATTTCTTCTAAATGGAATTGTACAATATGTGACCATTTATGTCTGGCTTCTCTCATGGAGCCACGCGTTTCTGAGGTTCATCTGCACTGTGGGCTGTGTCAATGCTTGGTCCCTTTTTATGGGAACTGGTGTATTTTTAACCACATGTTTGAGTCACTGAGGGACACCCAATTCCTAAATATGGAAAATGTTGGCTTTGCCCAGACATTGTGGTTCGTATCTGTAATTCCAGCACTCTGGGAGGCTGAGGCAGGAAGATTGCAAGTTTGAGCCCACCCCGGGCAACTGAGTGATTTAGCAAGACCCTGTCTCAGAATAAAGAATAAGAAAAGGGCTAGGGATGTAGCTCAGGGCTTCAATCCCCAGTACCACCACCACCAAAAAAATCCTGGTTTCAACTCATTTTGTTCAGGCTCTCAGGGGGGTGATTTTGCCCCTTAAAGGATGTAGATAAGGTCTGGAGACGCTCTTTATTATCACACCTGGGCACTGGAGACTGGCATCTGGAAGGCGCCAAGGATGCTGCTAAGCACCCATGACGAGTGATCCTGCCCGAGGGGTCTGGCCTCAGTTCCTTCTCTCACTGGTCTGATCCCAGACCCCAGGGAAGAGCACTAAAACTGCCAGCCCTTAGGGTCAGCCAAGTGTGAAGGGGACCCAGAGGCGGAGGGAGGGGAGAGAGAAACAGGGAAGGGACAGGGCATTCAAGAATGAAGGGCACTGTGCGCACACACACAACTCCCTGTGCTGAATGTAGTCATTACATTTGCTAATGAAAAGAATTCTTTTAAAGGAGACAAGGAATCACAAGTGCTCTCTTCAAAATTCACATTCTTGGGGGCCCCCAGGCCTTCTGAGTGTATATCTCCAGGCTAGCAGCCGGAACCTAGATTTTAACAAGTCCAAGGGGATTTTAGAGCCAGGCATGGTGGCGCACGCCTGTAATCCCAGCACTGGGGAGGCTGAGGCAGGAGGATCGTTGCAAGTTCGAGGCCAGCCTGGGCTACAAAGTGAGCTCAAGGCCAGCCTGAACTGCATAGTGAGATCCTGTCTCAAAAAGCCAAGGGGATTTTAGGATCCAGTTCCTTGGGCACACCTCCCTTCCTTTATTTGTAAAATGGTGCTAAGTTTCCCTTTCTCCTGGGAGAATTCTCCTCGCAGAGTCCATGGAGACCAGATTGGAGGACCCTTTACACCGAGATCACCTACCATGACGTGCAGTGATTCTGAAGTGATGAACTTCTCGTTCCATTCTCCGGGGCCCTGGGGATGTTCCACCCCGGAGGGCATTCCCTAAAGGGCTGGAGAGGCACTGAGACCCTGTCACGTCTGCGAGGGAGCCTTGTGCGCAGCTACTGAGGGGATAGGCGGGGCTGCCTGAGGCCTTCCGCACCCTTTCTTGCATGCAGATCTATTCACTGGTGCGTTTTATGAACTGTGTTGGTACAGAGGCATCTACCCCAAGCTGGATGCAGTAGGATTATGGCAGGCTCTTCCCCAGCTGGGTACAAGCGTAACAGAATGGACGGCGCCTGTGGTGCCCACGCCCATACCTGCTGTGCCAGCAGACAGGTCAGCCTGGTGGCCGGTGACATTCACGGGAGTCGGATCAACGCTGGGGTGCACAGCTCCGCCAGGGTCCTGTGTGCTATTAGGCCCGGAAACTGGCCTGGCCTGCTGCGGAGGGTCCCCAGGCAGATGCCATGCACAGCCAACAGGGAGGGAGGCCACGGCTGGCCTGCAGCTCTGGAAGGACACTTGTTCACATCTTTTACTCCCTGGGGTCAGACCTTCCCCATGTGCACACACACAGGGCCACTCACAGACAGCTAGAGACTCCCAGAGCCTCAGACACACAAACCACCTCCCTACGCAGACACATATGCCTGTGGAGATACCCAGCTCCTGCCACACAAACACGCAGATGTATATACTCCCACTCCGACACCTACAGAGACACCCGTGTCCCCTCCCATGCACCACTTAGACCCCCCCAACAAACACAGACACATGTGCACCCAGACACACGCATAGATACCCAGACCAGACACACACACACACACACACACACACACACACACACACACACACACTCACAGTCACACATTAGAAATCCGGTCTCTGACAGGGAACAGGCAGAACATACAAGGAGGGAGAAATTTAATCACAACAAGGAGCTGGGGATTTAGCTCAGCGGAACAGCACCTGCCTGGCAAGCGCAAGGTCATGAGTTCGATTCCTGGTACCGAAAAAAAAAACAAAAACAAAATAATCAGAACAAAGCAGAGAAGATTAAGCCCACTCAACACCAAGGGTGAGGGTGGCTCTCTGTGAACATGGTGGGGGGCAGCATGTGAGATGCCACAGTGGGTGATGTCACTGTGATCAGCCCCCTGCCCCACCCAGGAGCTCCTCGCTGGGTGGTCCCAGGGCAGGTTTATAAGCAGGACGACACCCCAGCTCACCAACTCCCACTGAGCCTCAGATGAACATTCTTTTCTGCCACTTGAATTTCCGACATGAATAGGAACTGCAAATTACAGCTTGGGAAAAGTCTCTGAAAAGCTGTCTGTCTGTTTACCACACACTCGCTGCTTCTTTTTTGGTGGTGTTTTGCTTCTTTTGTGGCACTGGAGATTGAACCCAAGGCCTTTGCACTGAACTATATCCCCAGCCTATGTTTTATTTTTCATTTTTAGACAGGGTCTCACTAAGTTGTTAAGTTGCCCAGGCTGGGCTCAAATTTGTGATTCTCCTGCCTCAGCCTCCCAGAGTGCTGGGATCACAGGTATGCACCATCATATCCAGCTCACATCCACTTCTCTGCTCCAGAATCTCTTGCAAACAAAGCAGCATAAACAACCACGCTAACATTGAAAGTGACGGTCAAGTGTTCCCCACTTTCTCTTTCCAAAGAGGATGGCATAGTCCACACTGCTCCAGGAAGATGGAGTTTTCTGGTGACTGGAGAAGTGCGGCCCAAATGTGGAGCCTGTCCCCTCGTAATCCACCTGTCGCCAAAAGTGAGCCTCTCCTTCTTGCTTACCAGCAGGACATTGGGGGTCAGTGAGCTGGAGGAGAAAAGCACCTGTGGGGGTCGGGGGCAGCTACTTTTCAAAAGACAATGGAACAGATCCGGAGTGCAGAAACGCAAATGAAATGACAAGAATGAAGAATGTGACAAACTTTCCTGGTGAAGCTTTCTGACTTGTCCAGCATGGAAACTTAAAGCTGCCCCCTGACCAGGGAAAACATCAGTGGCATTTTAGAGAACGAGCTGCCACCCAGCCCCGGCTGCAATTGCTGCTCTGGGCATTTTTCCTCCTGGTTTGTGACCCCTGGTGGCACTGGGTTTTTCCCGCCATGTCCTCTCACCAGCTTCACGGGGAGGGTATAGCGCCTGCCCCTGTACTGCCATACACTGAGCGGCGATGCTCAGCTGAACCCTGGAGTCCACAGCCCCTCTCGAAAGGTCTGTGCCCGAGTGCTGGCATGTGGCTTCCATCTCTCATTTCTCAGCTGCAGAGGGAGGCAGGCCCGGGACCTGTGTCCTGCTCTGATCAGCCAGCAAGCTGAGGCAGTCCAGCCCCCGTGTAGGTCTTCTTGCTCCCAAGCCAGCTCTGCTGCCATCAGGCCGCCCCAAAATGACTCTCAAATCAGATGCCCAAGTTCTTCAGGCCAGGGTAGCTCCAATGGGTACGCCTAAAAGATGTGGCTCTGCAACAGGGACACATTTCTTTTAAGACATAAAACTAAACAAAGGGAGACGTAGTGGCACATGCCTGTGATCCCAGCACTGCAGGAGGCTGAGGCAGGAAGATCAAAACTTCAAGCACAGCCCGGACGACTTAGTGAGACCCTGTCTCAAAATGTAGAAAAACAGCTGGGGATACAGCTCAGTGCAAAGGCTCTGGCTTCAGTCCCCGGTAGACAGAGTCTGAAAGGGAAAAAAGGAGCTGGGGGAGGAGCTCAGTGTAAGGCACACGCTTAGTATGCACAAGGCTGTGTATCTGAATCCCCACCACTAAAAATCAACAAAACGAAAACAAGGTGGGGCGGGTGTTGCTGAAATAGCATCTTTCTGTAATTTCAGAGAACAAGCACAAAATGGTTACATGCACTAAGCTGTATGCCTGGCTGTGAAATGGTTTGATTTTTCCTTTTATTCTCTGAGCCTCAGCATCGTTTAAGAAAAAAAACAAACCTTAACACTACTCCTGCTCTTGCTTGGCCCTTGCTGGATCTACTTCAAATTCGCTCAGTGCCTGTAGAACACAGACGGCTCATTGTAAACACCAGAGTCATAAAGGCAGCAGATAATTTTCATAAGAATCCAATGTGCAACTCAGAATTTTGCAAGTAAAATTCCAGTGTCTGTGGATTTACTCCTAACAGACATCCTAAGCCACAAAGTCAGAGAAGGCTTTTAACACCCCCAACATGCCAGGCCTCCTCCAGGGAGCCAACAGAGCCAACGTGTGAGGCTATGAAGCCACGTCTAGATAACCCAGCACCCTAAAAAAGAATTCTGGGTAGCAACGGGGAAGCCAGTTATCCCCGAGAAACATTTTTAAGGCAATGCTATGGTCAGCAAGGAGTCTTACGTGTTTAAAGTTGGCCTAAAGAGACATAAAACCTGAATACTTTGTTACAAGATGCACACCAACACTTCTTACTACCCAGGTGGATGTATAAGGTGCAGCTCCTTCTGGTTTGAAATTGGCAAAATTCTTCTTTGAGGTCCAAGTAGGTGGCTTAAAACCGTTTTCATCAAATTGAATGTGATCTGGTCTTTGTAACAGGCTGATTTCAAAGTCCCCCCAGACAGTGGCAGAGGAAGAAGGACTTTTAATTTGCAAAAATATATGATCAAGTCCATATTTTGAACATTCAAATGGCGTGCCTGATGAATACTTCATACTTCAGGAATCTGACATTGAAGTTCCATATAATATGTATCTTATGGTCCTCCGAACAGCCCTGCTTTCAGCGGCTTTGCATAAGTAATTAATAACAGCTTGAGATCATTTCTATACTGCCATCTGAGCACAAATGCTAACTATGCACCGCTTTGAGTTTTGTCAAAGGAAGAAACACCATAGTCAGGATCCCGTAAGCAGCAATTTTCCTAGCCCATAAATTAGGGTTTCGGTGACAATGTAAGCCACACCAAGATGACATTATTCTCCTGCGCCTTCCAAAATGAAACTGTCATCAAGTAGGAAAGAGGGGGGGTGTTATCGATACTCCTGGCATGTTACAGTACCCCCTTCGTCACAGCCACCCCGATCAATTAACAAAGCATGTTTTGTTCGGAGAATGAATGGCACCGGCTTGCTTCTGTGCATTTGATTAGAACTTGAAAGCTGTGGCTTGCTGCCATCCATGACGCCTATGGGGTTGCAGCAGCCCAATGCTCAAACCTGACTCGTTAACAACCCACTCAGTGCGACACTGGGGGACATTCAGCAAGCCTAAAGTTTGTGTTGTGAAGGATTTTTCCACCATTACAGAGCAAATAAAGGTTCTTTGTAGCAACGCCTGGAAACACAACATGAGACCTTTCTTCACACCAGATTGATAAATAGTTCAGAGTGAACCAAAGACTTTTATTTTTTGAAAAGCAGATAACACCAAAGTATTATATGGTATCCATAATTCACTGCAAAAATAATTACTGGCACTTCCAAAACACTGGTGAACAAAGCTGAATCAATGGTTATAAATTTCAGCCAATACACAGATTTTCGTCCAAGGGTTAGGTTGGATTTCTACACGAGTATTCATTCATAGAAATTCCCTGTGCCAGTTGAGTTTCAAAATGGGGCCTCCAGAAAGGCGAGCCCAGCTCTGTCTCGATTTCAAAGTGACACAGCAGCCAACCTAGAACTCTGGCTGCAGTTTGAGTCCCAGAAATCACATTGCTGTTATATAACAAAGGGGACCTCTGAAAAAATAAAATCAGACTTTAGATTCCTTTGAGACACTTCTGGTGCCCCACACTGTCAGCACCTGGACGGGCCCAACCAGGCTTTCCCGCCTCGCTCTGCTGGGAACCCCAAAGGAGCCCCACTTTGAGAGGCTGTTAAGAACCACCCTAAATCCATGTAAAGGCCATGGATAAAATTATCCACTTATTTTTCTCTTAAGGAAAAAAGAAAAGGCATGGTGATAAGCATGTGAAACCCCTGCTAATTGGGAGGCCAAGGCAGAGGGAATCGTTTGAGCCCAGGAGTTCAAGACCAGCCTGGACAACACAAGACCCTGTCTCCTAAACCCAACAAAAACAGAGTACACTGACAGATGGGAAAACGATACCCATCCTACGGTTACAGAAAACAATTCTATAAAACCCTCCTTTCCAAATTAGCTTCAAATGTGTTCAAGATCAAAAGGAGGTCACGAAAGCGGTTAATACTATTAACCATAAAAAAATCCCTTCATATAAAGTGGTGCTGAGGAAACAAGGGAAGGCAAACATGATAAAATCCAGCCCTAATTTTCTTTTACTTTGCACTTATGACCTCACGGATCTGTGTCTGGTGGGAGTTAACAGCCCTTCCTTGCACTTACAAGAACATCAAGAAATTAAAGTGAGCTTGAGTGCCAAAAAAGTTTGCAAGTACAAAATCTAAGAGCCAAACCCATAGTCTCTAAGGCAAGATTTTTGTCATGGGGCGGGAAGAGAAGGACAAGATGACAAGTGCGACAGGCTGCTTCCGCCGAGGGCCAGGTACAACAGTCTCAGAAATAAGGCAAACTGTGGCTTCTCAGTTGGAGGCCAGAGAAAGGGCCCACTGAGGCAGGAAGGCAAATCACGGGAGGATAATCAGATGGGGAAACGTCACAGTCAGGGTGGCTTTGGGGTCGTGGGTAGGCAGGAAACCCTTGAACCCACACTCAAAGGTCAATGTCTCTGCAAGTCCCGTGTATCTCTCCAAGCAGCAATTTCTGGGATTTGGAGGTTTGTGACTTTTGCGACATTTTCCCCCCAAAAGAAGACACGAAGGTGGAGAGATGGGACCACTGGAGCTGAGCCTGTCCCAGGGGTGGGATGGCTGAGATTCGGGCAACTCCCTGCAGCACGCAGCTCCCTCCACGCCTGGCCATGTCCTACAAGCGCTTGTAGGTGCCCAGGAGGGTTTTACAGTTGGGACAGTAGTGGTCCACGTCCTGCAGGGCGTCCACGCAGAAGGGGATGAAGCAGCAGCCCAAGACACACCTGGGAGAATAAAAGGTCACACAGAGAGCATGTTACCCACTGCAACAGATTAGATGGTGCCCGCCAAAAACCTGTGCTTGTGTCCTAACTCTGAGAACCCGCAGAAGTGACCCTACACTGTGTGATCAAAACACATGGTGAATGTTTACATTTTTAAAAATGTATTACAATGGCCAGGCATGGTGGCGCATGCCTGTAGTCCAGCACTCGGGAGGATGAGGCAGGAGGCTTGCTGTGAGTTGGAGGCCAGCCTGAGCTACATAGTTAAGTCCAAGGCCAGCCTGAAGTGCATAGCGAGACCCTGTCTCAAAAATAAACTTTTTTTTTTGTCTTTTTGAGACAGGGTCTCGAGATGCACTTCAGGCTGGCCTTGGGCTCACTTTGTAGCCCAGGCTGGCCTCCAACTTGTGAGGATCCTCCTGCTTCAGCCTCCGAGTGCTGGGATTACAGGTGTGCACCACCACGCCCAACTCAAAAAAATTTTTTAGTAAGGTAAAATACCCATTACTATTAATCTCCTCAAAATTCCCCCCTTGCTTCAAACATACTTAACCCATCATTCTCGCCATTTTCTCAAGCAGTTCCGGAAGTCCTCTTTTGTGAGTGTCTTTAAGAGATGTGATCAAAAGTACAGTGAATGCTGCTGCCAAGTGCCACCCAGCAGAAAGGCAGGTGCCTAAAAGCACTACCGGGAGCCTCATCCAGCTCATTCACCAGATCTGGCACCCCGTAACTCCTGGCTGTTCCCCGAAGTCAAAATGCTCAGGAAAGGTCATGGGATCGATTCGGGACACGGAGGCAGCCATGACAGCACAACTAAAGACATGTGACAGCTGCCCTAGGGAAATGATGGCCACATCAGGTCCACATAAAGGACTAACAGACTATCCTGGGTGTGTTTCCATATCTGGGGTCATTTGAGCATCCTTGAAAGTCTTAGATCAGGGTTGGAAAACTTTTTTCTAAAAGGCTGCACTGTACATATTTGAGTTTCAATGGGCCATGTGGCCCAAGTTTTAACTACTCAGATCTGCCCTTGTCTTAGTTGTAGAGAATTCCTAAACAAATGGGTATGGCTGGGCTCCAGGGACACTTAACCAGGTGTGGGCTGGATAGAGCCTGGGGCCACAGTTTCTAGGCCTGTGTCTTAAGATCTCTTTCTCTGCAGACAAGCCGCGGCTCAGAGCCACCATTTGAGTTCCCCAAAGGACACCTCTCGGCTACACCATCCGCACACACAAGCAAGATCATCATGCAGCCTGGGGGCCAGTGTTGTGCCACGCAGGTCACAACATGACAAACACGGGAAGATTCCGCCAAGATGAGGAATTAGACTTAGAGGAAGAAAGTGGAACGGCGGTTGCCAGATCACCAAACACGTAGGTAAAATTCAACATTTTTACAGGAAGGTATTGAGTCACATAAAGCAGAACCTAGAAATATTCTGAAGAGGAAGCTCTGTGAAAGGCATTTCCTCCTGCTGTGTGAGCTTACCAAGTTCAGATCCAGGCAGGCCACACACACTCAACTGACCTTATCTTCAGCAGCCCCGAGATTACAGATGGGAAAACAAAGCACAGAGAGGAGAAGTGTCTTGCCCACCGGCACACAGCTGGAGGGAAGAGCTCTGACCTCTGCTCTGTCACTTTTAAGGAGGGGGACAGAAAGAGCAGCAGGAGGGGCTGGGGATTTAGCTCAGTGGCAAAAGCGCCTGCCTGGCAAGCGCAAGGTCGTGAGTTCGGTTCCTGGTACCGGAGGAAAAAAAAAACAAAAACAAAAACAAACAAACAGAAAGAGGGGCAGGAAAGCTGCCTCCATTTCAAAAGCCAGACCAGCAGATGCTGACCTCCAGTATACCTTTGTATTCTGTCTTTCCCCGATTTCAAAGATAAAAAATTAGTCTTAATATAAATATTCAAAGGTAATGACCTTGTATTTAACTTTTTCTGGCCAAGGAAGAAAAGCAACAGTCAGAAGTGGAGGGCACAGGCAAGGCAGGGAACCAGGTGCTGAGAAACCTGGTTAAGTCCCCCTCTTCCCCACTTAATGGGGACCTCCAGGAAGCTAACGAGGTACCCTGGGGCTCTCAGCCCCTCTTTGAATTGAGGAAGAGAAACATTGTTCCTTCCTGACCTCGCATCACGCATGGCAAGTGCCAGTCCTCAGGAGCAGAAGGCTCCTGCAGAGAAGCTCACAACCCCTGCTTCCTCCAAGGAAAATAACCAGGCCACAGTTCAGAGTGGCCCCCATGGCCGGGAGGGAGGCTCCTATCATTACCTGCTCGGGAAAAAAAATTCAATCGTGTTTCCTCCAATTTCTCTCCCAGAGCAGAACCGATTACTTCTTTAAATATAATACCCTGGGTGCAGACACAAATACTGATGTAGGCCAGCTGCGTCGAAAATGGCAAAGATATTCAGACTCATAAAAGGATGTTTTGAAGAGATTACTATGAAGTGTGTTAATGCACAGACTGTTTAAAGCTTCCCTCAGAGTCAAGCAATCGTTACTATGTAGGTCATGAAATTCTAGAAGCAAAGGAAACCCTAAGGGTACCACCTTCCATGGAGGTAGGTGGCTGCACCTGCCCCTACACACCAGGGAGAGGTTCAAGGGCGAAAAGAAATGAGGGGCATCGGGTTCCAGGTGCCCAAGTGCCTAACAGCAGCATTCTCCACTGTCAGGACTTTGCACCCTCAGAGGGCATTCTGGGTTACAACATGGGTAGGGGGCTGCGGGCATTGATATAGTCGGGAGAGGCCAGGGACTATGAAAAATGGCCCAGAACAGCAGCTGGGAGGTAGCTCAGTGGTGCAGACTTGTCTAGCACGAACCAGGCTCTCAGTCTGATCTCCAGCACTGCCAGAGTAAAATATCCCCCCATGCCCAGGACAGTCCCCACCGCAAGGAAGGCCCCACCTGAACACCCAACCTGCTGCAGCTGGAAAGCCCTGCAGGGGCCACAAAGGCAGGCAGTGCACTCACCCCAGCAGGCACAGGCTCCCGCAAGACAGCCAGGTGAGGGCACCGGCATTGTAGGACAGCTTAGTCACGATCATCTTGTTGCAGGAAGGACAGCACATCTGGATGGGACGGTCAAAAAAGGACACGGGCTGCTGCACGAAGACGGTCTGTACTGCTGGGAAAGAAGATGACAAATAAATGTTGCTCCACAAACAAGGAAGAGGGAGTCGGGTAAACCAGAAGAAGCCGGAACAGAGCCTCTGACAGCTCTTCCCAGCAACCTAGGCCAGACACATTGACAGCACACACCCATAATCCCCAGCATTCTGGGAAGCTGAGGCAGGAGGACTGCAAATTTCAGCCCAGCCTACGCAACTTAATGACGCCCTGTCCAGAAATAAAAAACACAGGGCTGGAGATGTAGCTCAAGTGCCAAGGCCTTGGGTTCAATCCAAGTACTGAAAAGAAAAAAAAGAAAAAGATTTAACACCACTGTTCATGACACTCAAGTGGCCACCCACGGATGAATGAGAAATAAGCTGCGGTCTACCCACACAGTGGAGCGTTATTCAGCCTTAAAGAGGAAGGAAATCCCGATACCTGCTGCAGTGTGGATGAACCCTAAGGAGGTCACACTCAGTGAAGTGAGCCAGCCACACAAAGACAGGTATTGTCTGACTCCACTTAAAGGTCGCGAGGGTAGTCGTGTGCAGACACTGCAAACGGAACGGCAGTGGCCGAGTCCGTGGGGAAGAGGGCTGGGGAGCTGGTGCTGAAAGGGAGCAATGGTGCTTTCTGAAGAGATGGACAAGTCCTGGAGACGCTGTACGCAATGCTGTGCATCGGCACGAATATACTTAGGGCCACTGAGCTGCACTCTCAGACGGCGAAAGGGCTTCGTGCTATGTATCGTACCACAGCCTGGGCTTCATGCTATGTATCGTACCACAACAAAAAATGAAAAATGTAGAAAATGGAAGAAGAGGAAACATCAGCAGATTTCCAGAGTTTTCGCTTGAGAGGCTCTCAAAGGCTCTATTCAGGAGATGGGGAACGGCTGTGTGTGCCTCGAGGTGTACAGATGCCACACCCACAGGATCCTGGGCCTGCCCCGAGGGTCTGAGTCAGCTTGTTTCCCCTAAGCCCCCAGTGGTCCCACCAAGATGGCCCATGGGTAATAATGAGAGAAGCAGTGAAGAGGGGGGTTTCAGCCCCAATTTCCTGCAGCCACAGATCAGTGGCTGCCAGGAGGAGGGAAGGGACCACTCACGGGTACGGGGTGGATCTGCTAAAGCCACTGAGCGGAGCACTGGAGAAGAGTGAACTTCAGGGTGTGTGCATAACCTCTCCATAAAGTTCTGCTTAAAAATATGGAAGTGGCTGGCGATATAGCTCAGCGGCACAGCGCCTGCCTGGCAAGCATGAGGTCGTGAGTTCAATTCCCGGTACAAAAAAAAGGAAGTTAGCAGAATTGTTTCAACATAAGGGTTGTAAACAGCCTTACACGCACGTGGTGTAACCATACCAACTGTCCCCTGGTGTCACACAGCCTCCTGTATGGACTGCAAGGCCCTCTGACAAGGGCAGTTTACGAGGCAGAAGATGCACACCCCGCCCTGGAAGACAACGCTGGCCACCGTGTCCGTACAAGCAGCGAATGCACACGCTAACGCCAGGCGGAGGAGGGTGTGTGTGAGAACACCCGGGCACCACAGTCAGAAGACCTCTCCGGGGGTGGAAATCGTTAAGCACTCAAGTTGCTCCTGCTGGGATTTCTGTCAAATTGACTTCCCTCCGCTCCTTTTTGTTACATCCGTACAATGCCATTCCTGTAATCTCTGTGTTGGGGACATTCCCTACTGCCCAGAGCTACTGAGCTCAGTAATACCCACAGAAATACGCTCCTTCTGGAAAAGCAGCACTGAAGCATACTTGGACACTAACATATAAGTTGCAGTAAGAACTTTTTGGTTCAAGAGTAAGTTATTTAATGATCACTGCATAATCTTAAAGTCTAAAGTTATTATTTCTTCTTCCTTCAAAACCTCAAGGGGTCAAACTGAGCTCAACCACCAGTCATTAACTTACTGAGTGTGCTGGCATATGGGACGGTATCTTATCTGAACAACCCAAGGGAGTAGGTACCGGCTGAGTCCTATTTCACAGACAGGGAAACTGAGGCACAGGAGGTTATGTGAACACAGATGGTCTGACTCACGGGCTTCTTGTACTCCGGCCCCTCCCGACTCCGCGTCCTCAGGCCAGGGCGAGGGTAAGTGGTGGGTAGGGTGGGGTGGCAAGAGGGGCCTCACTTACTTGCGTTGGCACTGGGGTTGATGACAGGCACTGGCTGGGTATAGTACAAAGGAGGACTCGTGCCTTTCCCATCTGGGCCCGCCATGAGCCCCGTGGTTGGTCCAGGCACTGGGGCTGGAGGCGTTGGGAAGTAATTGTTCACTGCCACCGTCTCCTCATAGGATGGGGGCGCAGTGGGCACCGAGGAAGGCCCGGGGGCTGCCTGGTAAGGTCCTGGAACCGACATTTTATCTAAAGCAAAAACAGAAAACACCAGATAAGAAATTCACATCTAATCTTTCATCTTGCTAAAAAAGGGCAGATCCAGCCTTATCTGAAAGTCAGAAAGGGAGGAAATGTCCCTTCAAGACCCAAGACACGCACCGTAACAGAGGCTTTCCTAAGATAAAAGATAAGCAAGTAGGCTTCCAAATCACCGAGAAAAATCCAACGAGAGACATCAACCAAATTTGAGGAGTTTCTTCTTTGGACGTCAGATCAGGACCGGAAGATAATGCTCGCTCCTTCCCATACCGAGCATGTCTTCTCTTTAAAAACCAGTGCGGTTTTCACCCATGGTACCAGGAGACAGAAGTGACGAAGGCGTTCAAAATCCAACCACAAACTACAGAGAATGGAGTGCTGAGCGATAGCAGCCAGGGCCTGGAAGACGCAGGCTGTGGGATGTAGGGGCAGGGGGCTCAGGAACAGGTGATGAGGGACAAGCGCGGAGGGCAGCTCAGAATGCAGGAGGAAAACGCTGGAGGGAGGGGCTGGGGATTTACCTCAGCGGGAAAAGCGCCTGCCTGGCAAGCGCAAGGTCGTGAGTTCGGTTCCCGGTACCGGAGAAAAACCAAAAAAAAAAAAAAAAAAAAACAAGAAAACGCTGGAGGGGTGTGAGGCCTCCAGTTTCTGTCTTTAACCTGGCAGCTGATGACACTGGTTTGTTTGCTTTATACAAATTCAAACTGTGCAATTAAGGTATGTGCCCCTTTTTGTCATGTATGCTAATAGTTTTGTAGAAAGTAAACACACAGCCGGGCGTGCGGCAAACACCTGTACTCCCAGCTACTCAGGAGGCAGAGGCACTAGGATAGAAAGTCCAAGCCCAGCCTGGACAACGGATTCAGACCCATGTCAAGATAAAAAACTGAAAAGGAATGGGATGAAACTCAGTAAGTAGAGCCCTTGCCAAACATGCGTGAGCCCCTGGGTTCCATACCCAACACCTCAAAAGAAACAGAAAGAAAGAGAGACGGGGAGGGAGAGGCGGAGAAGAGAGAACGCACAGATCTATACCCATTCTCATCTGGAAAAGCCACTCCCAGAGCAGCTGGGCACATGTTTTCTTCTATGAGGGCAAAGAAGTGGTCTCCCTCCCTGGCACAGCCGCTGCCTGCTTAGAATTACACCCCGCGACCCAGGTGCGCCCCTGCGCAGTGGCCACCGGGCAGCTGAAGCAGGACACAGCGGCGTCCTTTGTGTGGCTGCGTCTCCTGCTGTGGTAAGAGAGCCATTCAAACCTTTTCGGGAGAACTGAGCAGTGTGCTCAGGACGCTGGGCCGGGCTGCCCGCTCTTCCCGCCCAGCCTGTGGGCCTCAGGCTCCAGAATTCCCAGACGTGGAGGAGAAAGAAGCCCGGTCGCAGGGAGAAGGGACCCCTCCGAAGAAGCTCAGCCTCAGGGCAGAGGAAAGAGGGAGGTGCAATGAGTAGGCTAGGGCTGGGGCCTAGGAAGAAGTCCCCCAAAGCACTCAGACTTGAAGGGACTGAGGCAGCCAGCAGGATTTCTGGGTGATGGACGTGACCTCCATCTGGGCTTCCAGGGTGTGGCCAGGAGTCATCTGAGGCTGCTCCAGTTTTTGTTGTTTTTTAATCTGAGTTAAGTAATTTAAATTTAAAAACTGGGGTTGAGGGTGTAGCTCAGTGGCAGAGCACTTGCCTAGCAGGGGTAAGGCCCCCGGGCTCAATCCCTAGCACCAAACCAAAAGCAAATGCTAGTACTTCTTGATACACTTGTATGTAACCACTGGGACCACTTGGGTACGTGAACCTAGTTCCGCAACAGTAAATTTGATGAACTCTGTATGTGGATCAAAATGTTCTGATAAAAAAAATTAGTATCGGCCAGACACATAGCTCAGCAGTACAGTGCCTGCCTGGCAAGCACAAGGTCCTGAGTTTGAGTCCCAGTTGCAAAAAAAAAAGAAAGAGAGAAAGACAGAGAAAAATGTAACATCCAGTTAGGCACAGTGGTATATACTTGTAAATCCTAGACTTGGGATGCTGAGGCAGGAGGAGCCCAAGTTTGAGGCCAGCCTGGACAATTTAGTGAGACTGTCTCAAAATTTCAAAAAAGCTTTTAAGGTGGTAGGTTTTAGCACCTGTGAGGCCCCAAGTTCCAGCCACAGCAACACACACACACACACACACACACACACACACACAAAGAGGATGTCAATATAAACAAAATGCCCCCTAAATTTTGAGAACTTAGTATGCAAAAAATACTGTAAAGTATCTCGTTAATTTTATAGTGGTTAGAGCCAGGCGTGGTGGTGCACACCTGTGATCCCAGCACTCGGGAGGCTGAGGCAGGAGGATCATTGTGAGTTTGAGACCAGCCTGAGCTACAAAGTAAGCTCAAGGCCAGTCTGAACTGCATAGCGAGACCCTGTCTCAAAAAGACAAAAACAAAAAAATTTATAGTGGTTATGTGAGAAATGACCCTAGTTTACATACATGGAGTCAAATTATGAAAAGTATTCTCAAAGTTAATGTCACTGCTTTCTTTATGCCTTTTACAATTTTATTAAAAAGTAAAACTTTACATGACCGAGGCAGCTCTCCTGGCTCTACTGCACATCACCCTGTGAGAATGGGAACTGTGGAAGGTCAGAGAGCAGAGGAACCTTCTGAGCCCAGAAAGGACAGCTGAGCCAGGCCTGTAGGTGAGGAAGAAGAGCTCAGCGGGGAAAGAAGAGGGTTTCACAAGATCAGAGGAGACGTTTGTGAAAACCAGTTCAGCTCTAAAACTGAGATGAACTGTGAGAAGTGGTCTGGAGTGTGCTGTCAGTTCCCTCTGTCACACAGGAACAGAAATGCAGAAGAAACAGAGACCACAAACAGTCCCCTCACCCGCAAAAGCCGGGTGATGTCGCTCCCAGGTGGCCCCCTCCGCCTGTCCATCACCTGGCTTTGGCACCAGCAGGGCTTATTGGCCCTCACCAGCCCAGGGGCAACGTGCTCCCCGCTCCCTGAGGTCACTGCCCTGTGCGCGACACGTCAAGACCACGCCATCCCTGCCTGTTTCAGGAAGACAGACCCAGCCCTGCCTACGCAGTTTCTTACAAAAACTGCGTCATGTGAACAATTACAGGCCCAGAAAACACTGGCTGTAGGTGTGTCTGGGAACCCTAAAATAGCACTGTGGGCCTGGGCTGCCGGGGAGGGGCAAGCAGGGTCCTGCATGGGAAGCCACGGTTCAGGCAGACAGGCTGCAGAGGACAATGACTCAATGGAATTCCTGGGGGCGGGGGCCCAAGACCTTCGGAGGAAACAAGAGCCCAGCCTCCTGCTCTGGACAGAACCCCTGTGCCCGCCTCTCCAATGCACTCAGACGGTCGGTTGTGTCTTCTGGAACTTTAATGTATGGCCCCTGAAAACCCTGCTTTTACTCAGACACATAAACACAATTGCAATTCTGAAAGAAACAAGAGCGTCAGGCCAGAAGGATAAAATCAAAACCCTAACCAGCTGGCTTCAAAGTTTCCTAAATTCCACAGCCTTTTTCCCTCAGGCCCCCAAGGCGGGAAATGGCGCTAAGCTACCTAGCTGAGTCCAGTTTCATTTTCTACCCCCTACCACCATTTCTTTTCAGTTTGGCTTCCCCTGGGGCACAGGAGGCCAACCTACCCACCCCCTCCTTATCAACTCCTCAAACCTGAAATCCTGGCACCACCCCCCCACACACACACACAAGTGTGTGCCATGCTGCCACCATCAAAAGATTCACACCCCAAAGTTCAGGCCACCTGGGTGCTGGTGAGGCCCTAGCACAAATTAGAACTAATGCTTCCCCTTTATCTGGAACAAACTGGTAGTGATAGGAAAGCATTTCTGAGTTTAACAAAACAGCACAGCTAGTTATGCCTCGTCAGAGGGCAGCCTTGGAGAACCCCTCTAGCAGCCCTGGGCAGCTGGGTGATCACCACACTGATCAAGTACGGCCGCCACTGTGGAGTCTGGGTTGTCACAGCGACTGGGAGCTTTGTGAGGGAAATAAAGGGGTACACAGGGGGGCTCCTTCCTCCCTCCCCAGTTGTTTAACTTTGTCACTAGGACCCTGCGAGTGGCATGCTACTGTCCCTCTAAAAGGTGTCTCACTGAAGATCCTGCACCCACTTTCCACCATCCCTGAAGTCTACCAAGAAAATACAAAGGCTTGGGGACTGCTGTTTTCCCCATTTTAGAATGACTCTTTTATTAGCTATTTCCAAATTTGGAGAGAGGAATTCTTTAAAGATGGAAAAAGGGATTGGGGCCAGCTTCAGGGGCGTGTGACCCTGGCAGCTGCCTAACAGGGTCCTGCGTTCGGAAGGCCCCTGAACTCGGGGGCCACTTTGCTAGACAGTCTCAGTGTTTCCACACATCCACGCCGCACCGGAGCCCTGAAAGCTGAGACAGCCAGATATGACCGCTGGCCACATAAAAGGAAAGGGAAGTGGCTCGGACCCAGAGACACGACTCCGATCAGAAAACGGCCACAACCAGCTATGTGATCCGGGCCTGGCTTCCTCAGCTGCAGACAGAGCCGCTTGGGCTTCTGAGGTCTCCTCCAGGGGAAACATCCCCCGTGTTGCAAGGTTCCAGGTCTCAGCGGCTCACTCTCGCAGGGCACTGTTCTCAAAGCAGGCAGAGAGGGGCCAAGGCCACTAAGGGCCCCACGGCCTGTGTTTGGGAGCAGCCCCAACACAACCAGCTTCCCAGCCCTGGTCTCCTTGCAGCTGCCCCACCTCAGGGAGACAAATGAAACTGTTTTAAATGCAATTAACTGAGCCAGGCGTGGTGGCACAAACCTATAATCCCAGCACTCAGGAGGCTGAGGCAGGAGGATTGTTGTGGGTTCAAGACCAGCCTGGGCTAAAAAATTTTCTCAAGGCCACTCTGAACTGCATAGCGAGACCCTGTCTCAAAAAAAAAAAAAAAAAAAAAAAAAAAAAGCAATTAATTAATTAAAATAAGCAAGGGGAATG